CCAACCTTACTTGTGAGCATTAATTTCAGTAAATATTTTTTTAAAACAAAATTATGCCTCTCATAACTGATTAATATGTTTATTGATAGTGAATAAGTAAACACACAAGTAGACTCCCACTAAACAAATGGTAACTGCAGACACCCAATACTGTTACTCTTCTTGTAATTTAAATGAGACTCTCAAGAGAAATTCAGCTGATTTCCAAGACTTGGATCTTGGAAAGTCTTTTGAACTAATCAGGTTTCTTAAAAGATGGTGTCAGGCAAAACATAAGTCATATGTTTGATATCAGTTTGTGCTGTAAAATTTACTTTAGAATCATTGAATAAATAGTAGTGAGAAAGGTGAGCTGCCAGGTGGCAATGGGCTACACAGTGCTGCACAAGATACCCAGAAGGCAACACTACTCAACATTCTGCAAGTGAAGGTAGCGAGGTCAAAAACTGGAACAAAAATGAGAAAAAAATCCATGCCATGTAATTGAGCTGCACTGTGATTCTTAGGAAGCCCTTTTTTCATCACTAAATATGTTAACAAGTTTAGAAAATATCTAGTCATAATAATAGAGTGATTAAATTATTGATGTAGCAACAAGATAAAGAGAATAAAATATTTAACACCTGCTCCTAATAAATCTTGGAATGTCACATTCAAAAGACCGGTAGAACAGAATGAAGTCTCTATATCACTTTGCAAACAGAATTTGGGGGGAAAAGCAACACAGAGAGAAAAATTATACTTTAAGTCTCATGGTCATGTCTGTATGCTTATGTTCAGACCACAGTTCACAACAATTTTACATTTCAGATGCATGTCTTCAGAATTCCAGAAGATAAGGCCCCAAGATTTCAAGTTAAACAGCAAGAACATTGAGAAAGAGTTTTTCAGCAGGACTCTGAATTATTGATGCTCTGTAAACATCTGTTGCAAAGCCTTCATTTAAAAAGGAGGTAGGTGTTATCAGGCAGATAGAGGCCATCACCTATGGGAATTAACACTTTTAGCATTATTTTAATTCTTCAATAGAGTAAATAAACTATTCAAAATAAAACTAGACACCAAAGAAGGAGATTCATAGCACCTTACAGCTAATACCGGTAGAAAATGATACATTTGGTATGCGAAATTCTCTACTCACTTTAAGCAGGAAGTGTCTGATCTAGCTATTTTAGCATATGAAATACATTTATCACCACAATTCCCCACAAACTAATGCAAAATATTAATGACTAAGAGGTACCTGTGGCTTGTGACTGAAAGGCCTAATACTTTGGGCCAGATATGTTTAAGCTTGTCAAAAATTAAGCAACTCCAGTCTGAAAGCTGTGAATCTTTTTCAGTGATGTGTTGAACCTAATTAATAGACCCTAGAAATAAAAAGCTTAAAGATCACTCTTTCTTTAATAGCTTTGATTTTCTGTATGGATTGTATGGATTCAGTAAAGGAGAACAGAGTTGGGCAAGTAACTTAGATTCATCAAGTTATGGTCAAGTACCGTGGGATGTGCCTGGAAGAGCACCACCAGCAGGTCATGGGAGATGATCCTGACCCTCCACTCTGCACTGGTAAGGCCTCATCTGGGACTGCTGTGTCCAGTTCTGAGCTCCTTAGCACAAAAAAACATGGAGCTCCTGGAGCAGGTCCAGTGGAGAGTGGCAAAGATAATTAGAAGATCTCTTTAGGTAGAGCAACAAACATGAATAGGACCTTTCTCTTGAGAGAAAAGGCTGAGGGAGCAGTGTCTGTTCAGCCTCAAGAAAAGACAACTTCATCATGAGGGGACCATACCCATGAACCCCCTGAACACAATCCTTTGCCATATGCTCTAGGATGACCCTGCCTGAGCAGAGCAGTTGGACCAGATGATCCACTGTGGTCCCTTCCAGCCTGACTCATTTGGTGATTCTGTATGGATGACTGCACACTGGGACAGATTGTCCAGAGACAGTGTAGAGTCTCCTTCACTGGAGATATTCACAAGCTGTCTGGACACTATCAGGTTCAGTTTAAAGCAGATATTAGAAAGAAATCCTTCACTGTGAGTGTGGTGAGGCACTGCCACAGGCTGCCCAAGGGCATTGTGGATGCCCCATCCCTGGAAGTGCTGAAGACCAGGCTGGATGGGGCTTTAAACAACCTGGTCTAGTGGAAGGTGCTCCTACCGGTGGCATGGGGGGTTGATCTTCAAGGTGCCTTCTAAATCAAACCATTCCATGATTCTAGAATTCCAGAATCACATGCCCCTAGCTTAGACACTTGAGACATGACGCAATGTAGCTGTTATTGATAAGAAACAAATCAGCAGAAAAGTGGGGCCAAGGATAGCTGAAGCACATGATAAGACAAACAACTATCCTTCTCTAAACAAAATTTCTTGGCCAATATGAGATGTTTCTACAAATAGATCATGTCAGAAAATAATTTGTCCATAACACTTGATATTATAAAGGTTTTCTCTAGCTCTGTCTTGTGCAGACATCTAAGGAATTAAATTGCTTTCCCACAAGCAGTCTGTCTACATTATGATTCCCAGCACAATGGCCAGATAGATATAGCAAAGACAGATGAGTTAAAAAATTATTCAGATTTGTCCTGTCTCCCAAACAAAAAAAACTGCTCCTGCAAAGGAGTAGAAAGAGATTATGGGCCTTGATTGCCTTTTCTACTGTAATAATGACCACAGTAATCACATTTTGGTGCATGGGAAACAGGGAGGGTTGCAAAGAGGAACAACCTTTCTTGCATAAAACTTTTGTGGCAGGAATAATCTAACCTATAATACTTATCCGACAGAGAATCAAAAGCTACTTGGCTGAGTTAGCTTATTTTTTTTAGCTTTGGTTACTGACTTCTCAAGAATGACAAATTTTGATGGAAATTACGGGTTTACCACAGTCTTGAGAAGATGCTGGTGCAGGGCTCATTTGTGTGGTAAACCATGGGGAAGTGGTGCAGGTAGGAATGGCATTAAGGCTCTAGTTCATCACCACACCCAGCTAAAGCTCAAAGGAAGGGACAGGTATAATGTCTATTGGAGGTACTGAGAACTCCTGCTTTTCAAAGTTTGTGAGTGAAAGTAACCTTTATAAGCAGACCATTCACTCTCAAAGGATGTCTAACTCAAAATTCTTCTTCAAGGATTTTCCAAGAGTTTGTTGGGGGATTTTTTGCTATAGAAAGATAGCAGCTATTTCAAAAGTTTGGTCAACCCCATTGAAAATTCAGAATATCTGCCTTTCTGCACATCTGCATTTGGCTGGGCATATGGTGCTGCTGCCCAAGTGGGTATAGCGTAGTACCATGACTTGCAGTGGTAGTAGCTTGAAAGCTTTACCTCGCCATGTTAGCAACATTAACCACATTAGCAATACTGGCCACTTTAGCAGTATTAGCCACATTACCAATATTAGCCACTTTAGTACCTAAGTCAGTAATGATTTTCCCCAGAAAAGCTCTTTTCTTTCTAACTTTATGCTACATTGCTTTCTGCCAGCAGACTAACTCAGCAAAAGCTATGTGAGGGCAAATGGAGAAGACAGAGGCAGTGTCCTGTCCCTGCAACAGTGCAGGGAAAGAAAACTGACTCCATCACTTTTATCCATCATATTTCATTACATTCCCATAGCATTGTATTGAAATGAGGAGATACAATGAATAAAGCCACTGTAGTCTTCAGTTCATAAATGCAAGTTGTGCAAGTTCATTCCCCAAGAATGCAATCCAAGTTCAGCTCCTAGAAATCTATCTCTGATGGAAATGGCACATTAAATTCTCCAGGGGTAATGGATGTGTAAATCGAATGTAGTGCTTCCCGTAGCTGATACATTTGGATTTAAACCAGAAGGTTAAGATTGCCTGAGCACATAGTTCAAACACTCCAGGAAAAAAATGCTCAAGTCCCAAGACAAAGTAGACAAGTCTGGGTTTATGCTCCTGGTAGAAGTTTTTTTAAATTACCAGAATGTTATCAGTTAAATAACAACAGCTGCCATAATGAAGATATGGCAGGAAATCTGTGTTTCTCAAAACTCATGCTTTGGATAAAAATTTGGGTTATTAGGCCTCAATCCGGACAAAAAAAAAAAAAAAAAAAAAAAAAATTAAAGCTACCAAAAAAATAGAGAGGCCAAAGACATATTTATAGTTGAAAGGCCAATAAACAAGGAACAGTTTATAAACCACTTATTCACACTACTGAGATCTTACAGGAACTAGACTTAAACATATAAATAACCGTTAATAAATCTTTTCAAATGGTTTTGTTCTTAGGGTGGATACTTATATATCTCTTTAATCTACAACTTGATTGATGTCTTTAGGTATTTTAGAAATAAACATGACCATGGAAATGTATTTAAAATGTGGTTTACTGTGAATGGCCTCTACAGCTGAGTGTATTAGCAGCTCCCTGAAATCTCTTCCATCTCCCTCTGAACTGCAGGACCTTACTGTGTCTCCCTGTGTTGCCAATAGAAATGTTAGCAGAATCAAACCCTTAACAAATGTATGTCAACATGGCAATAATAGATTCCAGTCCTGCACAGACTGGTGAGTGTGCTTAATATCAAGCACATGAGTAACTCCAGGCTAGAACCTGAGCATACAAAGGAGCACAGTCCAATCCATTGAACTTCTGTGTACTGTTTGACAGGTATTCTTTTGCTTGTCACCTCCACTCTAGCCCCCAGAACACAAGTCTCCCTTATATTAGTTTCCCAAGCATAGATTTTTACCATCATTTAGTGCTTTTAAGGTCTCAGAAGAAATAAAATATCTAAGCCCATTATAATATATTAGACAAATGCAAAAATTATCACAAGTTCAGGATTTTGTTTAAAAAAATTATTAAACATATGCCCTGATCTTCAATATGTTAAATATTCAAGAAAGGCAACAATTTAAGGGAACAAAACCAAAGTAAAGTAATGTAAACAAACCATTTTTGGGGTAAAAAGAATATTTCAGTAGAAATCTGTGAACTTTAGGATGACTTATGAAGACATTCTAAGTAGGGCTACAATCATCATAAATTCACCTCGCTCCTCTTTGGTAAGCTTTTGGAATATGCCTCCAAGGTGGCTTAAGAAAGTGCGTGATTGTATCCAACATTTGAGGTGCTTCATTGAGCACTTCAGGGGAAGCTGGGAAAGGTTTTAGTCTTGACTTCCTGGATTCTTTAGGCTTGTCATTAGTCTGTCAGGGTGCTTGGGGTTTCTTTCCCTGTGTAGGAATAGAATGCCATGCTGACTAAAGCCAGAGAAAATATTATTTCTTTAAATAGACAAAGATTTCCCATGTTACAATAATACTTGAAAAGAATTTTGAGCTATATCTAAATGTAGAAATGGCTGCATAGACCTGAATTTTTCAGTGGGTATCAGAAAAGTATCTGTTAAGTGTAGTGTCTTGGCTTTTTGATTTCCAGTTGTAATAAATTTCATTTTTTCATTATTTTTAATGTATTTTTTAAAATACCTGCTATATAACACCTATTATTTTACTGTTTCATACCCTATAAACACTGTTTTCAGTCTTGTCTCTTCCTGCAGTAGTAGCTTGTTGTCAAAGTAAAAGTAAACTGGTTTACAACATCAAAGAATACAGCTGGTCTGGATTAGATTGTCAGCATGTAAAAGCCAGCTGGCATGAGTGCTTACCTGTCTACATGGAGATCCTTCTCTATTAAAGTTTGGATACCAAATTGTGAAATGCAGTTGTTTCTAAGCAATTTATTGCAAGGTGAGAAACTCACATTACTTTAATTCAGATATTTACCAAGGACAGAACAATTGGACCCAGCACCACTGCTACAATACCTGTGTTCATGACCATCAGAAATTGCAGCCTTGCATGTGGTTGCACAACTTCTCCCATGTGTCTCTAGCTTAGATGCTGGTCATCCGTGGTGCTCAGTGTCTGCCAGGACTGGGCTCAGCTGGCTCTTGCAGATGAGATCTCCCTTAAAGATAAGTAAAGGGTGTGAATGTGTGGCAAGAATCACTGCAATTAGTAGGTTTGAGTGGATGATACTGTGGGAAGGATTTTTTTGAAAGACTATTTGAGTGATTACTGCAATTCAATATTCTTTTAAAAAAAATCAATCAGTCAATCAATCAATAAGTCTTCTCAATGAGAAGCAAAATACTTTATGACTTAAAAAGTGACTCTAAAACTTCATTCCCAAAGCTTGATTATTTAAATTTAAAAAAATCTCAATTTCCAACAAAATGAGGTTACCTTTGCAAGTATGTTTACTGTTGCCCCTTTTAAATATAAATGCTGCAGTAGGACGCATAAGAGGCTTTCTAAATAAGTGATACTTTGTTTTCATGGCATGACCACAGGACTGAGGTCTAGCAGAAAAGCCCTGTACACATTCAGGTGGCCAGGGCCAGGGCTCAGCAGTTCCCCAGATCTGCAAGGCAAATCTGGCCATTTGGCAGGAGTGGTCAGGAGACGATAACTGACCAGCTGTCCCCAGATAAGGGACAGACATTTGCATCCCAGGACAGGCTGGCTGATACTCAGTGAAACTGGGCAGTCTGAACCACTGTAACCCATTTAGCCACGTATGCAAACTATACATAAATCACTTGTTATCAAACAATAACAAGTCTTGGCACATCCAGGCACTGGAATAAAATAGTTCTTTCCCACTCTTGTCCCTCACCTCCCTACCAGTTCACCCAGTGGGCTGGATGAGGCCTGTGCCAACCCAGCTGGGCGGGCATTTGCACCCAGTATGTTGTTTGATTCATTGTTATGAGAGTTTCTGCCCTTCCCTGGCTCTCCGCTTCCTCCGTCCTGCAGCAGATGCCGTTTAGCCCAGGTGGGTGCTGCAGAGTGGGACAGAGCCATCCCGATCCCACAGGGTGTGGCAGGGGTAGAGATGGCCGCCATTAGGGAACCCTCTGTCCTGGCCCCTCAGAAATCAGCCCCAGGGATGGCGGGCCGAGGGGAGCGCCTGTGAGAGAGGCTATGACCGGCCACAGTGACACACGGGGGGAATGGAAGAAAAACAGCCATTCTGAGAGAGCTTTCCAGCAAGACGCCTGGCTGGTAAGAGGTGGGTCTGAGAAAGCCGGGAAGCGGAGGAGGAACTTCACGAACTCACAGAGAGAGTAGCTGAGCCTGGTTGGATCTAGGGAAAGAAACACAACCCCTACAAAGCACATGGCTGCTCTCAGCTGACCCGAGTGGCTGTAATTAGCCTGTTTAAAATCTGCTGTGCCCTAGAGCTGCTCTGGGCACCCTGGCGAAGGTGGCTGAGAGCTGCTGTGGGCACCCTGGCAAGGGTGGGAGCTGTGTCCGGGGTGAGGAGCAGGGGCAGACGGATCCCATCCTGCAGTGGTGCAGGGGCCTTGTGTGGGGTCAGAGAGGCGGTGGTTCCCTTGCTTCATTGCCAAACTCAGGGGGCAGCAAGAGCAGTAAGAAATGTTTAGGAGTGTGCAGGAAGTGTGGAATAACAAAGGTCTTAGTGCAAAATATTGCCTCTTTAGTTGCTCTTTCACATCCTCCCGTAACACTGCTTTCCATGGCAATTCAGGAACAGTAGCGAGGTAGATGTCTGATGGTAGGCAAGTATAATCATAGCCTTTTATTTCCATGACAATCCAACAATGAAAAGTTTCCCTGCTGCCTTCTCATGAAATAAAGCGGAGACAAAGAGAAGTGGTCAGGCAGAGAACTGAGAGACCCTCGCTTGGAGCCAGTCATTTAACAATGATTACTTTGCAGCTCCTTGCCCAGCAGAAATGAGATGGAGGTGCATTAGGGTAAGAAAGTGATTACACTGCCTCCCTTTCAAGCTCTAGACCGGTGCTGTGACTTGATACGGTTTTTATCAGAGACTGCAATGCTGCATTACCAAGTAAGCAGTAAATTATGTTGAAATCAATTATACTACCCCAAGCAGAGATTCTGAGTAGAAAATGAATGGGTCTGGGGGTGGAAGGAACAGACACTGCTTATGCATTTTGATTAGATAGCTAGCTATCGTCCTCCACGAGAAAGGAACAGCTAGCAAGTCATGAGATCAGGAATATTAGGGTGACTTTATCGCAGGTTATATTTTATGTGTGTTTTACTGTGGCCTACAAAGGGAGATCATGGACCTTACTAGGAGTCCTCTTGTATGATACAAGCCTTTCTGTTTTCAAGTGCTTTAATCCAGCTTCTGAAAAAATTATGTACGTGTATAGGCTGACAGAGCAGATATTCACTCTGAACCTTTATGTCCAGAAAGTATGTGAATCAATGAATCTTTATTTTTAGAAGGCAGGGTGATCAATATAATAGATTAATGTTGAAAAAACCCCACACATTTTGTTGCAAATTGCAGTGATGTTTGCATGGAAATCATCAGACAAAAATCCCTCCTGAAATTCTAATGAGTGGAAAGATTCTTGTTACAGTAGATTACCACAAACAAAAACCAAAGCGTTTACTGCCAGCTTGCTAAACTGAGCAGGAGGAAAATCACATAGGTTCACATTTAGAGTCTAGTTACAGGCCTGTAAAGCTGAAGTAAAGGCAGTTGAATTTCCAGAACTCGGGTAACTCCCAAGTTGGTAAGAAATATTTCTGTTTCCTCTGACGATCATGAGCAGCACTTACATTTAATGACTGACATCTCTGTACTGAGAGAAAAACAAGAATTGGCTTTAGGGTTGTGGGGCTTTGTGCTGGTGTGCTTCTGTCATATAACAGGGCATCTGATCCCTCTTGCACACAGATTACCATTCAAGCAGACAAGTTACCCTGCAGTTTTAGCTCCCTATAATATCACTCCACTACCATTGAAGCAATATGAATACAGTGAAATGCAGTGGAGGGCAGAATTGATTTCTTTAGGTGTAAATATAAACTATCCCATTGGACCTGTGTTGAATATAATTCTTCACCTTAAAAATATTTTCAGTCTTGGAGTTTCTTGACACTGCAGCACTAAAAAAGTGGCTTCTAGGAGCTCCCATCAGGTTGATATGACTTTTCTCTCACAAAAGTGTGTACTTCCCTGAGTCGCTACTTTCTCCTTTTTTCCTATTTTTGCAGGAAGTAGAGCTAGAGAGAAGCCATTACAGAGGCCCTAACCCTTGAAAAGGCTCAGCAGTCCATTCTCTCCTCTAACAGCCAGTCCTGGGAATAAATTCCACTCAGAAGTGAAACTGTAGTCTCTAGAAAGATGAGACCTAAAATGAATAATTTGTATTATGTTGAAAATAAATGTAATAGAAAGTAAAAAAAACCCAAACAAAACAAAAACCTGTCATATAAATTTGAGCAAATTTCTAATATCCTGATAGATAGCTTGCTCCATATTTGATTTACCCTTTTCTTGCCTATGAAATCTTGTCCTATTAAAAAGTAAAACCTGCTAAAACAATTACACCTGTTAAAACCTAGCTTATTGAAGAAACCTAAATTTGATTTTATTGAATTTAAAACTTTGTTTCTAGTAAAAAAAAATTTCCATACCTCACTAACAGTTTTCTATAGAAATTTAGAGGCTTACTTTAATTTCTTCTGTTAAGGAGAATGAAATACATATCAGGCTGGGATACAGCCTGGATAATTTTCATGACTAAAACACTACCTTTATAGATGACACCACTTTAATTACTGTGTGCTTCAGTTTCTGCACCTGTAAAACAGGAAGTTTTATCTTTCAAGACATTTTGAGATCTCTTGTGCAAAGAGAAATATCTCTTTGATAGGAGATAGAAGAAGAATTTACTACTGGAATGATAGTTAAATTATATTATAATATATTATAATATATATAATAATATAATTATATTATCGACAATAAATTCCAATGTTATGACAGCTGTCTATGTTAAACCTGATAAAAAAGGTGTTGCTCTATGATGCTGTCAAAAATATGCTAGACATACAGTCTTTTTAAAAAGTTGCCTTTTTAAGCACTTGTGAGCACAAGATTCTGGCAGCATCTGTGCTGTTTTAGCAGTGCAGTTTGCAGAGCTGGCTGGAGCTTACACATTCCATAGCCCAGCTTTTTGGACTAAGTCGCAAGGACGTAGGATGTCTTCACAGTGTCTTCTTGATATTTACTGGCAACCTTAGTTTTCTGATACCTGCAGCCACCATGTTTCCTGTTACCACTTCATGTCATGGTACATGTCAACTTTCTGACAACAGCCACATGTTGGTGCCACAAAAGCAAATGTCATTCATGGTTCAGGTCTCTCCACATTACAGGTTTGGGAAAATCTGTTCTTTGTTCCAAAGTAATGACCTGGGATGATGATAACTTCAAGACAGGCAACGTGGTCTCAAGCACAGGTTCAAGCTTTGCTTATATTATGTAACAGGTATCCAAAGCTCCCAACTACTACATGTAAAAATAGATGCATTGATACATTTCCTTGCCTGTTTCTCTTGGGCTCTTTTCCTAAATTGTATTGTCTTGGACAGTGAAAAAGTGTCCTATTTCACTCCTGAGGATGATATTCGTGTTGTTGCACGTAGTGGCTCCTAGGTGCCCAAGATGAGGTGGGAGTTCCTATAATATGATCCCAAATCCCATGTCTCTTACCAAAAGCAGATGGGATATGGCTTTACTTATTTTTCATCAATTACAACTGGGAAAACTGAGGACATTTATAAAGTAACATGAATTCTTTGAAGTGTCCTGCCCTGACTTACACCTTATGTATCCTGGACAAGTAGAGGTAGGGCATGATGTCTCAGCCTGAGCTGTGACTGCACATCTTTACAGCAGTAGCTGCCCAGTGTGAAGCAGGGTCTTGCCTTCTATGGAAGGAATCCTTCTACCACCAGTTCAGGCCTGGGTTACTCTGTGCTTGCTGTTCCTGTGACCTTGTTTGTGTCTGTCCTGTCAAACTGTTAAATAACTTAATCTTTTCTCCTGCTTCCTGAATCTGAACTGCATCTGAACTAGACTGAGACCATTTCAGTGGAATGCACAGGGCATAGAGGTGTCTGTCTACTTGCCAGCACAGCAGAAGAGGTGGCTAGAATGGGAAACTCCTTATTCCCTCACATTGGAAGTGAGATATTACAAATTCTGATGTTATTATTTTCATGTGGAGTCTGGCAACATCAATAGAGGGTACAATAACCTCATTCTTTGGGGATAGGATGGGTACCTGTGCTTACAACCAACACTTAAAAGAGTAAAGTGTGGCTGAAGCTGTCCTTGAGAGGCACTTCATCCTTTAAAAAGGATAAAGTTCCTTCCTTGTGAAAGGAGTTACCTGGGTGCAGAAACACTGTTGTAGTTGATGTGAAAATTTCAAGGATATTTCAATGGGTTTTGAACTCAGACCTGAATGGCTGTTGTAGGGACTTAGGCTCTTATGCAACTTCATTGCTTCTGAAAATGTTATGTATTTTTTTACAATTCTAGCTTCCCTACAGAGAGTTTCTCTGTGGTGCTCTTACAAGTTTCTGTCAAGACACATTTTACATCATAGTTTGGAAAATCTCAAGGGTTATAATTGAGAAAATCTTGCTTTTTTCTTGTATTGTTTAAATAGTTTTTTTCTTACACCTTTTCTTATTGCATCTTTAAATTTTCTGCATATTTAAAAGCCTCTTTGGCCCCTCAATATGCAAATTCAAACTTCAAAAGAAAAAACAATAAAACAAGGCTCTCCTCCATTTGCTGGCAAATTTCCTCTAGTGTTTCTAGGGGAAAATAAAGCACTTGAACATAGTGGCTCACAATTCCATGCTCAATGTAAAGGCACTATCAGTAGTGTATACAAAGTGATAGTGTAGTGTCTGTTCCCTGAGGAAGAGTAGATAAAGTAATCTACCAACACAAATGGACTTCAAACAGTAGTTTTCAGCTAACAAAAACAAACACCACATCCCAGATTAAAATTAAAAAAAAAGAAAAGTAAAAAAATTCTTTGCACTTCCCAGCTTTCCCCCAGGAATATTCTTCCTTCCTCTGAGTTCCATGTTGTCATGAGGAGTGATGTGTTAAAATCTGTGAAACTGGCAGGCTGCTTACTTTCAATGTTTTAATTCACAACTAATGTCCACTAAGCAAAAGGAGGCCTTGTTACTGCTGCAAAAACAATAACTTTAGAGTGCAGAACTGCTGTAGTGTAGAAAATGTAGGCATCTTTCCCTGAAGAGTCCATATTTGCTCAGGTGCTTGAATTAAGTATTTCCCTAAAAAAAGGCTCTCTGCTTTAAACTTGTGGGTGCTGTGGATACCTCAAGCAGGCTTTCTTCCATGTTGATTCAGGATGAAATTACTGAAGGGGACA